AAATAGGTTTACCATCCAATGTGATGGCTGTGGTTTAATCTTATGTATGTTACATTTGATCAATTTAGTACATTGGGGAAATATTGGAACTATTTGAATTGTAATCGGCCAGCCAAACTTTCTTGGTTGGCTAGAATTGGTTTCTATTTCATGTTCTCAATTCATTGTCAAGTTAGGGCAATTTATTCATACAAATCAATTTATCCTCTCTTTGATTTCCATTATTACTTTTCCAATCGATAATTGTAAAATACAAATGCTTAACTTGTATTATGTTAATGCATAAATTTGATTTAATTGAGGAATCCCAACTAAAGATGAACCTATTTGAAACTAAATATAGGTTTTGCCAAGAAGAGTGTTTTGGTAATTTTGTGCTCAGCAGGGTTGAAAACATTGAATAATTGATCAAATTTAAGTTCAAGTCGGGTTGGTCAAATCACGAAGTTGATTTTGAGAAATCAGAAGTGTAGTGAGTTGGCCTGTCCATTGGGTTTGTTTACTTGGATACTTTTTGTGGGTTGGTTGAGTTCTAAAACCATATCAAATGGTACACGCAGACATTAGCTTAACTGAATTAGGAGCCTTGATAACATAGATTAAAGGAGAGAAATCAGGTAATTGAGGTAAAACTGATGATAGTTGTCTTTCTACCTCAAATCATAAGAACAAAGTGATAGACTCAATTAATTTTTAAACAAAATTCAATCGTCTGCTTTGGAGAATGACTTGCGTAGCTTTGATATCGACAGGAATAGTCACTATTGAATTGGGTAGTACAAATTTTGCATGTCCCAATTTTTGTTTTCTGTAGCATGCTGATCAGTTGATAAAGATAGATTACATCTCTTATTCTTTTTTCACTGCAGTAGAAGTTGGCCTTTGTTTAAAGTCCTCTTTTTGCTGAGAAAAAAAACTGATTTTGGTTGTTTTCACTTTTAATTTGTTTGCTGGCTTCTTATGTTTTTGTAAAGCAAAGGCATGTCATCATCAGTATGTTTTCTCTGGTTAAGGTGTCTTTAGTGCCTGCTGTATCATTGTGCTGTTCAGTTTTAATTGCTATAGTGGTCTCTACTTGCAAGTTAGAATGTAAAAAATAGAAAGAATTGGAGGATTAAACTTGAAGCACGAAAATAATAGATTTCTTCTGTACATAACCCATATATCGAAAAAATGAAAAAAATTCTGCTAGGCCACTGTTCCTAATGTCGTAATTTATCAACTCGATTCGTTGAACTTGGAGCCAAGGCATCATGGAGGTTGACGACGTAACAATTGTCACTGGTGCAATAGTAGCGGGTAGATCATGGCAAATTAATCATAAAAGTAATGGACTTTGGATTCCTTAAAAATAAAAATATAAATTACGTTGTGGTGCGATCCAAATTTCATGCGATTTGATATTTGGTTGATTTGAAGAAGTTTAAGGTATTTGGGCTTGTAGAGTTCTAATATGATTGAAGATCAAATTTCAATAATAATTAGGAGTTTGGCTTGAAGGGGGACTCTTGGATGACTAAAGGCATATTTTGAATTTCTTCTCCATCTTAGACTCAAATAAGATGTTTTATGTATAGTCACATTGTATCTCCATAATACAATATTCATATATTATTTTTTACATTTTCAACAANCATCTTGGACGCAAATAAAATGTTTTATATGCAGGCATATTGTATCTCCATAATACAACATTCATATGTTATTCTTTATATTTTCAACAACATATTGAGAGACTGAGAGTTTAGATTTCAATTGAGATTATTGGAATTTTGATATTGTAAACACAAATTATTGATTATAGTGGACTGTTCTCATCTGCCCGTGGTTTTTTTTCCTGAATTGGGTTTCCACGTAAATTCTTGTGTTCTTGTTTTCTTCTTATTTATTTCATTATCGTCATTATCCTTGTATCACAAATTATTTTATATTTACTTCAAAAATGATCTCTCCATATTATTTTATGTGAATTTTACTAATTGTTATTGCTAAACATAGTGTGATGGTTGTATTTAGTTTTGATGGTTCTATTTTAAAATGTCAATTTTGTTAAGAGAATAATTCGAATTTTTATATGTTGAATGTTGTTTTAATATTGAGTAACATGATATTTACCCTTAAAACGCTCGTGTAAGCTCTTGGTGATTTGTTTGAGAATTTCAATCTCTCGACTACTCATTTGAGTTTTAAACGATCAATTTTTTTATTCAAGCTATGATATCATATTGAGTATTAGGAACCCATCTTAAATTTTCGATGTTATTAAGAGGTGCTTGTAGCACAAATCCTTATATATATGAATATGATTATTGTTTCTTATTTAAGCAACATAGTTATTTGGTTAACTGTATAAACTTAGCCATACATAAGAAAGGTTTCGAAGTCATCAAAAGATATTACATATTTCTTTTTATGAACAGTCCCTTTCCCTTTATAATACTGTCTACAAGGGGAAGGAAGATATTTAGGGAATAATCAAGGAAAATTGCATTACCTAATCATAAAAGCAAGCATTAACTGGGGGCTTAGAGACGATATAAAGTACAAAGACTCATTCTTTTACAACAAAAGTTACAAAACACATATTGTACCTAAGTATTCTTCTATTTGGTCATTAGTTTTGCCAGACAAGTGCCTACACACTTCGAAGAGTTGACGTAACCTCAAGAAAATTCAAGTAGACTAGCCAAAGAGGTTTCGAAGTCAATTGCTGGTCATAATCTTGCTCGGTCATATAAAACAAGGTTGAGTATACTTGATTTGTATAACATTCCATAAGTCAGTGTGGTCGACTCATCTAATGTTGTCATTCAACAACACATCACTCATCATTTTGTATGGCCACATATAAGGCTAGGCATGAGTGTCTTAATTGTGCAACCAATGATATTACCAGGTGCAGATGGAGGGGGCAACCCTGGGCTAAATAGCCCTAAGCCCATTTTGATTTCTATAGGTAATTGTTTTTATATACAATTTTTTTCTTCTCTGTATTATCCCAATATAATGTTTTTGTTTTCTTTGACTTCGTCTCTGAATACTATGTTAAAGTAGTTATCACGATATTTGTACTTCCCATGTTAAAGGAGAAGAGATTTTAACCAATGCGATCCCTCAAGCTAACACTCGTTCCCGTCTAAGATTTTTCCTACTAGAGTTACCTTCTCTCGCTAAAAATCCTCATTTGAACGCCAATTCTAAATACTCAAAATAACTTAATATACTATATCAATATAAATAACCACAATTCTCATTTAACATTGTATCCCCTTCAAAATACCACACTTTTTAATTTGTGTTATCAATTAGCAACAAGATTTTAGATTTCATATCAGACCTTTGAAAAAAAAAGGTCCCATATCTCATGTCTATTGTGATAAAAACTTGAATTATATATAACTTCAGCTTGACCATGAAATCAAATGATTCTAAATGGGTTGATTTTGAAGTGGCATTGAATGCATTTCCCAATATCTGTTAGTTTGCATGCTACCCACAACAAGTATACTAGCTGTACATTAACACTATGTGATGTGTCAATGATTGTTTAAAATGCTGTTAAAATCAATGTATAAAAAGTTATCACTTCACAACAATGTCAAACTTGATATACATGTTGCAAGATTGTACTTACAATACGCCCATGTTGGAAATGTCATTACATTTCCTTAAACTCATGGAATGACAACTCAAAGACGCGACATTTACAGTTTTACACTCTTCAAAGTCCTTACCTCTTACGTCCTTGAAATAGTACAGAATTGTATTTGGTATGCCCTATGCTCTATCATTGAACTTGACTTAAAATTAAATGATTAGATATAGTCGAATGTATATTATTTAAATATTATTTTAAACACGTATTTTCATAGGTGTTGCTTATTTGTTCCTATTAGAGATCAAAACGTATGAAATACTACAATGCATGACATTTGTCTATTCTAATATGTAGTGGATTGTATTTGGTTAACACTATGCTCTGTTGTTGAAAAACTTTGTTTCAAACTTAAAGCATTTAGATATATTCATGTTTGGTGGAGATTAAAATCAGATTTTTAATAGATTTTAATAAAAATTAATGAAATATGTGGTTAAATAGTTGTGTACCCCATGAAACGCATGGTTAAATTAATT